TTGTTTGACTATTGTATAAAAAACAATCATTAAGTTTGTTGGCAAGACTTCTCGCGTTAAAAAGATAAACTTTAAAATTGTTGAGCGAATTTGTGGTTAAGTGATTGCTTGAGTTTATTAGGTCGTTTTGTTCATTTCAAAAAATATTTTTAGAGAATGAAAATAATAAAAATGAACAAGTAATAAAAAAAAATTATATCTAAAAAAATTTAATGATTACTACATAACAACTCCCTTTGGGATATTTCTAGCGATTTGTATAATTATATTTGTACAATTATTAGTTATTGCAACATTATAATGCCCTTGACAATTAATTCCGCTTGAAGGAATTCTAGTGTGAATACATACAAAATTTGACTGTGGAATGAATCGTTTTGAACGTTTTGAACTAATAACTTTTTTAATGCTTTTGTTGTTTACCGCAATAATAAGTTGTTTATTAATGCACCTTAAAAAAATATCCTTCTAAACATGAATGAAAACAGTGAAAAGAGAACATCAATTTTTCTACACAAAAAAGATAAAGACCCAACTTCAGTGTGGTCACATTATTTGAAGTCTGCGCAGCAAAATGTAAGAAATGTGGTGTAATTTTAAAAACATTGGGTGGTTCTACAAAAGGCCTTCATACGCACTAATCAACTAAGCATAATTTGAAAGTAACTTCAGCCGACAAAAATTTACCTAGTTCGAGTCAACAGAGTTGAATGATGCCAGAACCGACGAGAAGCCTCCTACGAAACGAAGAATAACGAGTTACTTTGCATCCAAAAAAAAAAACCTTAGCCGAAACACTGGCTCGAATGACAGCTTTAGATGGGCTAACATTTAATGTATTTATAACATCAAATGATTTAAGACAATTACTGATTACCAGTGGTTTCGAAAATTTCCCCAAGTCAGCAAACTCAATTAAAAGGATAGTGGTGAGTTACAGCTTAAATATTAGACAGTTAATTTCCAAAGAAATTTATCAATATAAAGCTTTGCGAACACGATTTTCTCTGAGCTTTGATGGATGGACCTCTACAACAAATAAAAGATACATGAATATTAATGTACATATCCCAAATAAGCACTGGAATATGGGTCTTATATTTGTTATCTGTTCCACCGACGAGCATCGAACCTGAGCGGGCATTTTCTGCAGCTGGGTATTTGGGAAGTAAAATAAGGAGTAGGCTAAATGACCAAACCTTAAATGCTCTACTATTGCTCCAGGCATATTTTCAGACAAAAAAAGAAAGTTTGTAAATAAAATATGCATTTAATATGAATTGTTTTTTTGTTTTATATTTATTATTTAGCTACCATTTATTTATAAATATAAAATAAAGATTTTCTTTACTTTTTGTCTCTCAATATTAACAAACAACTTATTATGTTATTTTTTACAAAGTAGCTTGTTGCTACAGCAGCTACATCGGTACCCAAATTTAAGAAAATTTATGTTTACAAATTTATTTTGAAATTTTGATTGTTTAGTTACTTTAGTCAAATACACTTTAAATGTTCAAATGTTATTTACATATCCAATTATTTGATGAAGGTTATTCTGTAAAGTCTGTAATCTTAAAACATAATATGGAAGGTACCGTATATATATTTCTGCATTATTTTAAGATCTTTATATACACCTGCTGCCTGTTACACAATTAAAACAATTTAAGGCGCCGTATAAAATTAATGTAAGTCATTAAAACATAATGAAATTAAATAAGAATTGATAACATCAAAAAGTATATTCATAAATGCAGTATTAAGTTCTGTTTTTTAGCAAAGAACTCACATTATATAAAATCCCGGGATCCCGAGATTTTATTTATTTCAATCCCGAAATCCCGGGATCGTAATTCATGCCCGGAATTGCAATCCCTAATTACACTTGACGCTGTTTTGTTTACTTTACCTAACTCTTATGGACATCTTGGTTTTAGTTTAATATTCCATTCATTCGTAGTGTTAATAAAAGACGACACTTAAAATCCTAAAAAAATATTATTATGACCTAAATTTTGCTGTAAGTATAACAAAATCTATTGATACCAAGACGAATACAACATACTTTGCAAATACAACATACTTTGCAAATACAACATACACAAATTTGCAAATGACATGATAATAATCATAAAAGACTGTTTGATGGTGTTACAAAAAAACAAAGTTACTCTTACCTTGACGGTATTGAATTCAATTTTATTACCAAAACTGCTGGCTAATGATCAATAAAGTAAATTTCAGTTTATAAAAATTTACTAAATTAAAATCATACTTCAGCAGTAGTCAAACTAATCATAAATAATGAAGTAGGGCAGAACTTAAATGTCAAACTAAAAAAAAATAAAAAAAAATAAAACTTAAATTAAATATATTATTCTTTTAATAAAAATATAAAAGAATTAATAACAGTTTAAACAGATCTGAAAAAAGAGCAAAAACAGAATTTAAAGATATCTACTTAATAAAATAATGAATTATATAGGATTAAACCTTG